GATTATGAAAAATAAATTACAACTTTCTTAATATAAAAGTGGTTATAATTCGAAAACGACGTATTTCCGAAACGACCATTATATAGCTTTTTTTTCCTTCTTAAGTCGAATCACTTCTTGTAGTATTATGGGCAATTTCCGGACACTTATATAAAATGAAGAATAACTCTAAATATGCATTATAATGCATGCAAAAGTAAACTGCATTATTCGAATACTCGAAATGAATCATAATAAGTTTCTAATTGTCTCAGACTTGTTTTTGAAGTACAATTATTAAAGACAGAATTATTCCTTGATAAACGTTGTTTTTTAGTTTAATGATTCTATTTACTTTTAATTGGCTATATTATTTATATCTTAATTATTAAAATCGTTAAATAATAATATACTTGACACGTTTATATTTACATTCTAAATTTTTTTTGGTTACGTCGCATGTTTTGTATATATCGCATGCCAATTTTTTAAGAAAAAAGCGTAGCATTTACACTCTTTGCAATACGTGCACTATTTAGTCTTTCAAATATGATAATTTGTATAAATATAATATTATATAAATCATATTTTGCAAATTAAATAACTTTTTACAGTTCGAAAAAGTTGTTAATAAAATTATTAAAATACGATTTATGTAAAATAATATAAATTATTATATAACAAAATTATTATTTAATTTATATGATCTTATTACAATAAACACTTATCAGAATTGCATGGTTTATTCTTGATTTTTTAGATATGGATGCTACTTGTCTGCGTAATGCTTTCGTAGTCAAATGGAAATCCGCCGTAATAGTATTTATTCAACTTCATCTGAATCTAAAAAAAATATGTAAAATGAGTACCTTAGCGCAAATGATTTTGTCAAAAGGTTTAATCATAATAATAATCTAGAGAAATCATATTTTAAAAACTGAAATCATTGTTTAGAATAAAAAATTGTTTATCTCTGGGCACTACTGAAAAGTTTCAATGCGTACAGTGCCACATCCAGCAATTTTAATACAGCAACACTTTCTCCTAGTCATACAATACGCGTTAAAATAATTAAAAAGTTCTTCTATCATCATGTAACTTTATCTGTATGACAGAAATTTGAAAATTAATAAAATTTGATAATTTTAATGAAAAAAGATTTACTTTATACATCTCTGGGCTAACAAAAAAAAGTTACATAACCGATACTTTTGATAAAATCAAAACTTGCATTCTTCCTTAAATTATATAAAAAAAGTCAGTATAAAATATTTTTTTATTTTTAAGATTATTAAATTTGGGTTTATGAAAGATGGCAAAAAATCCTTTGAACAAAGATGCTTTGTATCAGCAGCGGCTTTGAATTCTTTTCGTTTTCAACACTCATTTATAACATCTGTAATCTTGTTTTTGCAAATATTTATTATTTATATAGCATTTGATAGATTATTATAAAAATTGCAACAGAGTAAAAAATTTTTTGTATAATTTTTTCTGTTAACCAGTTTATGTGATCAGGAGAAGTTAGACTTATTACAAATTGTACAATATGTAAGATTTATCTTTACGCGACATAAACGAAGCGAGTAATTACCAGAATCTGATTTCATTTATTTTGATAGTGGTTCTCCAGTCAAAAGACTTTGCGTCGTAGTGCTTTGCATTTCGCCGGACACTGATGCCTCTGGTACATCCTCACCGCCACTCAAACTCGGTTGTCCAGGTTTGTATTCTACAGACGAAGAACTTTGCGTCATAGCGCTTCGTATTTCGCTAGAATCTGGTGTCTCTGGTACATCCTCATTCGGAATGCTTTGTCCAGATCTGTATTCACATATCATTAAATTAAAAAGATAGAATTACGTATTAATTAAAAAAAAACAGAAAAATGTCATGAAATAAATAATAATTTAAAATCAAAGTATACATTCTGTTGAGTTATTAAATCAAAATTTACATTTTTTAGATTCAGTATTGATATTATCAATTTGTTAATATTATATCTGTAATTTATTTATGTTTTACATTGATCTTTAAAATTAAATATTAAAATAATATAATGCTGTAGAAACTAGATCACATAATGTAATATGCAAATGTTGACAAATATGTATGCTGCTAGGGTATCTGATCGGAAATATAAAGTACGGTATTTAGAACAATTTATAAATTGAACAAAGAATTTAATTCTTTGTTATTTTGCAATTTTTATACTAACTAATAAGAAACTATTTAATTAAGATAAATGAATGACCGTTTATTGGAATTAATTCAGATAGTAAGCGTATTGCACATTATACATAGATGTTAAATGCTCCAGTATTTCGTTACATACGAAGTAATCGCAGTCGTCGCGATACGTTTATCAGCGATATCTTCTTTGCGCTTACATAACATTCATTATTGAATCTATCATAAATTCCGTATGCAATATATAAGCAGAAAATATTGATATTTACAATACTTTTTGTTTATATTCTGCATACAGGAAGTATGATAATAATGATATTATGTAAAAAATTTTTTTAATTTGTAGAATTAAAAAAAATTTAAATATTTTGTGATTTATCAAATTTTTTTTTTTTAAATCACGCGAAACATAGTTTACAATTGATTACATTTATTATAACATAATATAAATTATACTTTTATTGAAAGTTAATATTTAATTTTCATATGTTATTTAATATAAGAAAAATAAATAATTACTCAACAATGTGTACTTCTTGAATCACATACCTTTCCGCTTGATGTGATATCTGCGTTGCAGCTTCTCGCCTTTTTTCCCTTAAATTTTTCAATACTTTTTCTAGAATTTTTCTTTGATTATCTTTTTCATCTCTCTCCATTAAACTGTTATTAAAAAAATGTTTCGGGATAAATATTAAAATTAGAAATAAGAGTGTTTATTTGAGTAAATCGATTAAGTACCATCAATCAGAAGTAGCACCAATTATGATCAAAATTAAATGTTAAACTAAAACACATAAAGGAAGAGTCCCGTTTGTCTACAAAACGATTATCTATAGTTTCACATATACGTGTATGTATTTTAAATGAAATAATCTTAAAAATAAATGTAATAAAAAATTACATTTTTCTCAAGAAGTTCTTTATAGGTTTTAAGATGCTACTAGCACGAAATTAAAGTTTCTAATTAAATTTGGGGGGTTATTATGATATTTCACATTGATTATGTGTTGAAAGGCCGAAAGTAATTGTCGCGCAGTTATTTCTAAGATGATTTTATTTAAAGTACATACGTATGCATGTGTCTAATTTTGATCGTAATTGACGCTTCTTCGTGTTTAATTGCTTTGTAATTATATTATTATTTGTAAAATGTTTATCATAAGATGTAGTTTGATGGAACAAAATCGAAGTCAGACCAATCGTTATTTTCGGATTATTATGAATTTACAAAATAAAACAAGTAAAACATAATTAACTTTTGTTCGTTTTGATATGTCTAAAAAATATTTCATACGTATGGCGATTTATCCAGTGTTCGTGTATATAATTCAATTTGACGAGTGACACTTGGGTGTCTTCTTCCAAATTTTCTGAATATTGAGAGCAATTAGGGCAGGTTGCTAGAGTTCCATCCGTTATTTTGTAGTTCAGAAGTATCTTTTGTATAGGAACATAATTTTTTACTTCATTGTATATTTTACTTTTCGGCCCGTGATATATTTCCCAATGATTGTGTATGCGGTATAACTTATCATTAATGAATGTATATCGAAGTCCACATTTATTTATTTGACATTGTACAAGAAGATATTTTTTACCTATAATTTTAGAATTGTATTGTTGCAGTAGCGTATTAAGATCTTCTGGAGAAACTTCCGGTTCTATAGTTCTTAAAGTCTCTTCCATTACGACTTCTTCATCAATGCTTTGCAAACCAAAAATTTTTTTTTTTTTTTTATCTTTCACTTCTAGATGTATTTTTTCCTCTTCGTCTAGCTCAATTTGTATGAGTGCTTCCTCTAGGAGTGGTACTTCATTGTCTAGTATTTCCGGAGCCTCGCTGTGGAATCCATAAGATTATTAAATACAGTTGATTAATTTTTGTTTTATATCAGTTAAGTTCCGTGTCAATTTTAGATTACTTGTCTACAATGATTTGTAGATTACCAGTGACTGCAATTGATACGGAATTATATATTAATAAATATATGTAAATTATTAAATAAATATATATGATTATTATAACGGTCATTACCAAAGAATTAATTTATTACTTATGGCAGAAACATAAAACGCTATATTTTTTTATTATATTAAGTGTAATTCAATTTATCTGGAATTTTATTTTTATTATCAATTCTGTACATGTACGAATATAATCATCTGACACGCGCGTGCAAAAATTGTATTGAACTGAAATTTATTATGTTCGTAAACTAATTTCTAATATTTTTCATATTTTAATCTAATTTACAAAAGTTATTACTAAACATCTTAAATGTTACATGGTAAAATGTACTTAACGTATATTCGTACGTATGACAAAATAATGTACATATAAGGTTACAAAAACTGTACTGAACATTTGTTTTCTTATGTAGGATATATACATATCAGGGGCATTTATATAACGTTAATTTATATAACATTAATTTCATGAAAATATATGCTCAATTTCAATTCTATTTGTAAAATTGTTTCTGTTTTTCAAATTAATAACGAAATTGCTAAAACAAAATAAACAGAATCTATAAAATCAATTTTTCATGCTTTTGGTTGTGATAAATATGACGAATACATTTTACATACTCAACATGTGGGATCAAGTGTCTGCTTAAGTCCTCGAGTACTTTAGCTGGGTGCAAGTCCAAATCTTTCAAGGGTAACGACGTCTGACAAAATATGCAGGTCGCATTTTCGATATCCATTATTTCGTAATTATTTAGTATTTTTTGTCCAGAAACAATTCCTACTGCTTTTGCAAAAAAATTTTTTTTGTCATCTGCGTGATGCGTTATCGAATGGTTTTTAAATGGTAATGCTCTACCAAATTTACTTTTAACTGTCACGCCACAATTTGACTCAAGACATATCCCACTGTCAGTTTTGTATTGATATTCGCGAGAAAGATTAAAACTCATTTTTACAGATTCATATTTTGGATCTTCCATTATTTCTGATTTATTATGCTCCTCGTATAAATGACGTATCATTCTAATATAATCGACGATAAAATCAGGCTTTGACTCTTGTCTACAGTATTCACATTTGAATAACTGATTACCTTTCGCATCTGGCTCAGATTCTTTATAAAACTGCACTATATCTTCTGGTCGCAGTTGAGCCATTTTCGTTAACACCGTTCACTATCATGGATTGCTCACGACTAACTGCTTATTATTTGGAGAAATGTTTACTATTTCAAAATTGGTCATAGCTGAAAAGTCGAGGAAAGATACACGTCTCCTTGCAAAAAAATGTAAATAACTTTAGTTAGTTTGTGTGTGTGTGTATTAAATATACCGTTTGACCGACAAATTGTGTAGCTTTATATCTCAATAAATATTTAATACAATTCTAATATTTAATAAAATTCTAAAATTTTAAATTATTGAAACACAGAGAAAGAAAGAATATTCTTATATTGTCTTTATTTTTAAAATATAAATCTTAAAATAAGATTATATAGCGTTAAACCAACATAACTTGCTTACATGAAGAAATTTTATTTAAACCAAGGAGAATATATTCTTGTTATTCAATAATAATAATTATGATTTAAGAGAGCGGAAATATCACGTAGAAAATAACAATATCTCGAGAATCAAAATTTCTTTAAATAGATATTAGATTTTTGTTTTATTATATAGTTTCCTTGAAACAAGCTGTTCATATTTGTAAATTGTTTTATTAAAATTAAGCGTTCATCTCATATGTGGTATCAATATAAAATGTACGCGCTATACGTAAGAAATAAACGCCTAATCCCTATATTCTTTAATTTGCTTATACGTCGTCGTTATATATTCATAATTGCGCTGATATTTTATATAGTAAAAAGGCTGCGAAATTATCTTTACGAACACACAACGACTGCATAACAAATTACATATATTGCAATAAGCCGTTACTATAGCTTTAATATGTCTTAAGACGTAAGAAATTGATCAGTTATAGTTGAACATAAAAAGAATTTTTTTTATATATAATACGTATGTATACAAAGATATGTTTTTGTTATAACTGTCGCTTGCATTAAAATTCGAAATCATACGTATATTATAAATGAATCGATTAGAGTAGCGAGCGATAAAGCAAAGCTTATAATTAATCTTACAAGACTTAATAAATTATTATACCTATTAAATTTAATTATTTGCTTAATTGATTATGTTTTAAAGACTCAATTTTCATTCTTTAGAGTGAGATTCCACTGTAAATAAAAGAATTTAGACAATAGAGATTGGTAAAATAATGGGTTTTATCAAACGTTTTAATCTGTTAATTTTTTTCGCCTTTTCGTTACATGCTCATCGATTACAGCAAAATCGTATAATATTGTAATTAATGAAAAAACAAGACTTTGAATATTAACGCGTGACATTAGATGATTCACGAACTATATTTTTATAATGCCATTGATGATGCATATACACATACACACACACACGCGCGCGCGCGCGAAGAATATATATATATATATATATGTATTCTTTAATCGAAAGAATTTATTTTCTTCTTGAATCAATTAATTAATATAAAAATTTTAGAATATGTTTGCATAATAGCAATTAATAAAAAAAACCGAGATATGCATACTCAACACGCAACGCCAAACAATTTTTAATTAATGTATGTTAATGCGACGTTTGATTAATAAATCATTTAATTGTAAGAATAGCTTAAACGATGTCAGATGATTTATGAAATGAAACAGAATATATGCGATGATAATCAAATAAAATTAATCTATAGAAAGAAGCATTTGAATATTTTATAAAGCGTTACATTTTTAAACAAAATGTTAGTAGGCATTGTTCTTGATATGTGAAGTCTGTGGCTGAACCAGTGTATGCTTTTGGAACTTAAAATGAAATAAATATAATACATATTTGACAATTGACGAAAGTGAGAAAGAGAGTTATAGTACTGTTTAGTGTAGTTTATTCGTTAGCTTCAATAATACTAACTAAAACTAAAAGTGATTCACTGTGACTGACATCGATTAGCCAAAAAATGCCGAGAATCGGTATTTGAATAATTCATAGTAATGTTTGCGATATTGTTTGTGATTTGTGATCAGCGTCCTTATTTTCGAGATATTTAATTATAATCCTAAGATTTTTGATAAATTAGTTTTTCATACTTTCTATTTCGATATTTCCATTATTTCCTTTTTTTTCATTCTTTTTTCTTTTTTTTTTCTTTCACTCTTTTTGGGTTTAATTCTGGCATTTAAATTCTCGAGGTAAGGGAGCTCACCATGACAGAATCATTTCTATTCACAGTTTATGTATGTTACTTTGTATTGTCTCTGAGGAGGGCTCAAAAGTGAGCCGAAAATGTAAGCGCGTTCAGTTAATAAAGAAGTTTCACACTTCATAGATTATTATTTGCGTGTCTTCTACGCTTGACTCCCGTATTCTTTCCAATTCTTTGATAAGTATTAGATAGGGAACATAACAAAAACTTTTGAAACATTGAAGAGAGTCAGTCGATTGCAAACTGTACATTTTTGTACGCCCGAATGTGAAATTTAAAATATGATGTCGTGGCTAAAGGAACGCATTTTGAACTGGTTTCAATCTCTGATTTTAAGGATCATTGAGTTTAGGGAAATGCCTAAACATGTGGCATTTATCATGGATGGTAACAGACGTTATGTGAACAGAACTTGAAGAAAACAGAGGGACACTCAAAAGGGTATGTATTCTTAAAGAGAATTTGCAGACACACTGGCTAGTTATTTATTTGTCTCATACCTTCTATTTTATTTACGATAGGTTAAACAAAATGATTAATGCGTTAAATTGGTGTACGTATCTCGGTATTGTAGAAGTCACAGTTTATATATTTAGTATAGAAAACTTTAAACGTAGCAAAGAAGAAGTTGATAATCTTATGGACCTTATCAGGCAGAACTTCAAGGATTTGTTAAAAGACAAGTACGTGTGACATTTAGAATTTTTTAAATCAGGTATTACATCGCAGCACAATATAGATTTTGTTATTACAAATTTATATAAACAATTTCCAGGAAAAAATTGAAAGACGATAAAATATGCTTTCGTGTAATTGGTAATTTATCCCTGATACCAGAAGATATATGTAAATTAAAAGCTGAAGTTATAATTATTACTAGGGAAAATAATAGAATGTTTGTTAATTATGCTATTGCTTATACATGTAAGTATAATTACAATAAACTATATTTATGTTTACACTTGATTTTATATAATACTAAGCCTGCGTTTAGGAAGTGGGCTATCAGCGCAATTGCATCGTCCTGTTTTATGTCTCATAAACAATTAAAATAGAAAAATGCAATAGTGCTAACAGTATGCTCCCAGAACACAGCCTCTAAACCGATTTAAAAAGATCATTGATATATTAGTGTACTCTCTGGACAATTAGTTTCGTGAGATATATACGAGTATAAATAAATGTTTACTTATTTTATATAATTTAAAAATATATACATACACACATACACATATGCATATATAATTTTTATATTTTTTAATATCGCTATAGCAAGGGATGAAATTACTCATGCAATTAAGGATACAAGGTGTAAAGCATGGTGATATTTTACCTGAAGATATTAACGAAGCTCTGATTACTGATTGTTTGTACACTTACAAGTCTCCAAATCCAGATTTATTCATTCGTACTTCCGGAGAAACTCGACCTAGCGATTTCCTCATGTGGCAAGTAAGAAAATAATTTAATTAAAGTATTTAATTTTTGTGGTTTGAATCTATCTACTTGTAATTAAAGTGTCACGTCCGGCGGACTCGCACGACTCTTTTCTTTCGTAGAGATCTGGAATCCTTCGAAACACTAAAATTTTATCTTCTTTCCTTTTTTTCCTCTATCTTAAAAATTAAAACAAGGAATCCGGTATCTCCTCGTGAATGTCGCTCCGAGATAAAAATCAATAATAAATATGTATGGAAAGCGTAAGACCGGCGGCAAGATTAACGGTCAAGTCACGGACGATTCTCGCGAATCCGTAATTACAAAATTTAAGAAACAGCACGCGACGTTCAGGGGTAGATTCTGGGTGGTCCCGTGGCGATGATGCATGCTCGCCTTCTCGACGCCCGAGACGTGCGTTTCCCCATAAATCTTAAGGTCATAAAATTTTGGAGTTTCACTTTTCCACACTACAGATTCCTGTCAACATCCTTTCCTCCCCCAAAATCTTGACCAATCCAAGAGCAAAGGAAAATCCTACTACGAGCCAACGAAACCTATTCCACCAATTCAAATTTGACTAATCTGGGGCGATTAGTATAAAAATCGCGGTTCCGCAACCCTTGCTGGAGATTTTCTCTAAGTTCTCGAGTTATACTTGTCGGGCGATAAGTTAGAAAAGCGGTCGCAATATTCGAAGTTGATAGAGGCAGTGAGTCGGTCGCAATACTCAAAGTTGATAGAGTCAGTGAGTTTGTCGCGATACTCAAAAGGTTCTATCCGATTTTCGAAGCCCTCTTTCTCCAGTAGAGTCAGTGTTAAAGAAACAGAAACCAGCCTTACACATCCTGGCCGGAGGATCTCCAACGATAAGCATCTCAGTAGTAAGTCAGTATATCTCTATTCTCTGGTTCCCTCCTCCCTTTATCTTTTGGTAACTTATTTTAATATTTCATTTTATTTTTTTTTATTATTCATTTGTTTTATTTTATTTTTATTCTTTTCTTTCTTTCTCCCTTTTGATCTCCTATAAGAAAATGAAAACATTGCAGTCCGTTCACATATAATTTCAATCTGTCGCCGTCGCCGCACGATAATTGTTCGCCTCCTGTCGACCGGTCGTTCATGTCCTAACACTATCATTATCCGAGGAAAATTAGGCCAAACCCTCTCAAATCCACACTCACCAAAACCTCCTTCTCTTTTTATTCTCTCGTTATTCTTTCCGTAACTCCTCCCTTCCATTCTGCCATGATACTTTACACACACACACTCTCACACATCCATAAATGCGTACATATAACTCAGAATAGAGAACCAAAAATTGTATTATTTTTTTGTATTTACTTGACAAAATTGTATTTATTTATTTTTTATTCAAAAAATGTATCACTCAAGTTTGCTTCTTTTAATTATATCATTATTAAAT